TCTTGACATTTATTCAAGTTTCCAGAATCTTTTCACTTTTGACCTAAATCTCTGTATTCAAAAATTATGACTGATGTTTGTTGATGATGACCATGGGTCCCTGTGTGTCTTACATATCATGGCTATAGAGGACACTGGAAGAGTGCTGTACCATTTGTATAAATTACTCCTTGTGCTCTAGTAGTAATTAAAATGACTGGGCTTGGAGTCATTAACTAGGGTTTTAGCCCTGACCTGACCAACACATAGCTTTGCAATTTCTGACCATGTAGTTCATCCATTTGAATTCTTTATTACATAGTAAATCACTTCATTCTATTTGATCATCAGGGGGGTTTTCCAACTCTATTTTCTCTTGTCATTCTTTTAGAAAGACATGCTGGTACTATCATTTTTCAAGCATGATGAATATTAGACTGGCATATTTTCTGTTTTTTCCTCTTGATTTCTTTGTTTTCTTTTCATTTATTCTTCCTATCTTTCACATCATGCATCTTGGTCCCTTTTATTTCCCTGTCCCTGCATATCTACCCTCTGCCCTTGCAATTTAAGAGAAAAAAGAAAAAAAACAAGAAGGAAAAACTCAATCTCGTCATGGTAGCTGTAGTGTGATACAGTGAGTCATGCAGTAAACCCTTTACCCATATATCTTCACTTGCAAGTGTTCATTGCAGAGTCATTGGTATGGTTTGAGGCCTCTGGTTTCTGCTACACTGTTGATGCTGGGCCCTGACTGGGACTCATCTTGGATATCTTGTTGTTGCCTTGTGTTGTGGAGATCCTACATCTTTGAGTCTGCAGAACTGGCCCCTACACATGCTCCAGAAGATCGTAGATTGGACTGATGTTGGGGTGAGTCAAGTCATAACCCTGGTTCTGGGCTTGGGTAGTTAAAGGGTTGGGCTGCCTGCCAGCTCTCCCCTGTCTTCACCACAGGGCGAGCTCTCCTGCATTGTCCTGATGAGTTCTCAGGGGGTAGGACCAAGACTGGCAAGTTTTTTACATTTCATTTTGAATTTTGTATTAAATATACTTTTAATGGCTATTATTTAGATGTGATAAGGTAAACTTTTTAAACAATTGTATCCTTAAATGTGTACTTCTAATGTAAGATTCTCCCCTTACCTCTCCCTCAGTGTGTACACACACGTGTGTGAGTGTGTGTATATGTGTGTGAGTGTGTTTATGGTGTTTGAGTTTGAACCCAGGACCTTCAGAAGGCTAGGAAGCACTCTACCAACAACTTATGTCTCCAGTTCTTAATGTGAATCTTTAAACTTTCCAAAGAGAAAGAAAAGTATTTTTTGTTAACATTTGACAGGAGTGCTTAGTTTACATTTTGGAAATCTTTGCAGAGGAGGTAGCATCCTGTAGTTATTAAACCAAACAGCTATACTAAGAAATCCTTGCCTAAATTGGGTGTTTGCTGTGAGTTTGGCTGTGGAATGTTGGCTGATATTTATGCAGTTGTGAAGTAATTTAGCTCTATCCTGAAAGTAGCAGAGCATTAAAACAGAGAGAGTACAAGAATCCTGTCCCCAGGGAACTTAGATGTCTTTTATTTTAAGGAGGAAAAGTTAAAAAAATCAATTTGGAATATAGTAGTATAATGTAGCATAAAGCAGCATTAAAAAAGAGAATGGCCCCATATTTAGTGCCCCACAAATGGAACTTCAGAAAACCACAGTAGCTCTTAAATGGTGCATTGCAAATATAAAAACATGATCCTGTCCTGAAAGCACTCCTTCAGGGTGGGTAGATCTTCCTGCCTTTTAGGCCTTGTGTTTCTCAGGAGTAAACCAAGTCATGCACAAACCTTTTATAGAGTGAGGCATAAATTGTTCCATTATGCCTGGGGAAATATGGAGACTAAGCTAAGTGTTCCAGCAAAATTTTAAGCTAATTGAATCAGTAAGGGAGAGCTTAGAGAGGGGAGGATTTTTAAGTCTAGCCCTTTGCTTTGGTTGATGATGGTAGAGGTTAATATGCAAAGGAGTGACAAATGGTGGTTTGCTTGCCTGTGTTTAATAGTGTTAAGGGAAGGATGGATTATAGTTTGTAACACACACAGACACATACAGAAAGACAGACAGACAGACAGACAGACAGACAGATAGACAGACAGACACACATACCACTTCTGTGTGTGGTGACCAGTGACCAGAATATTAAAATATACACTGAATATAAAGGGTTACTGATAATCCTTTACAGAATTGACCCACAAACAGATATTATTTGGAGTAAACAATAAATCAGAAGACAAATTAGTATAATTTTTTCAAATTAAGTAATGGGACATTCTCTGTGTGAAGTTAAACATTCATCAGTACCCACTAGCTTTTGTGCAAAGTTATGTTAAAAATACATTTCTGCTAATGGATATTTTGCTTTTAATTATGAGACAAAATTTTGTGAAGCTGGAGCAGTCACCTTTGTATTAAGATACAAGTAAATTTTAGAATTTAAATATAAATTGTTATGTTTGTTCTTTGGTAAGCACATATAAAATGCAATAATATCCCAAGAAAGTCAGAGGCTTCAGTTTTACCCGTTGCATGCATATAAAATTTTATTACTTTTAAAAAATACTTTACTACCTTTTATTTGTGTTATGTATACTGCATACTTGCGTGGTGTTCACTGTAGCAGACATGTAGACATGAGACTTGCAAGTATTATTTGCTGGACTTAATGATCTCCTTCCAGCTTTCTGTCCATCCATCTTGAAGGGGAGCACTTTCATGTAGAACTGGGAAATAATGCCAACACACTCTGTAAATGTTACATTTGGAGTTGTATATTAGAGGGGGGCTTAAAAGTTACAGTAGATGTGTGTGTGTGTGTGTGTGTGTGTGTGTGTGTGTGTGTGTATGTGTGTGTGTGTGTGTATGTGTGTGTATTGTGTTTGTGTGGAGGTGCTCCTGAATATTTGACTAAGTTATGGCTATTTATCAAGACTGTGAATACAATAAGTGAAAGCAACTTAAGGAATAGAAGTTGAGTTATCTTCAGCCTGATACTGGTTCATAACATCAAAGGCATCAGAACGGCTGAGATGTTTAGCCACCACCTTCCTTCCTGTCTCTGCTTTTACTTGTGTTGTTGGTTTACAATTGTTGCAAGGAAAACTAGTGTGTGGTTTAAACACAGGTTTTACACTTTAAATTAAGACTCTAATCTTGGTTTTGGAGTGGCAAATTCCTAAGATAACTTTGTAAAAATTGAGGTCACTCCAGCGGGGCACAAATCAATCCCAAGTGCTTTAATTTTCATCTGAACGCATAAAGAGTAAAATGTCCTGTTTCCTTTTTATCTTTTCTGTTTGTCTTTGTTTTGGGGAAAATTATTTCCTTATCATGGCTGCAGACACAGTGTTTGCTTGTGTGTGAACAGCGGCTGGATACTATTGGTTTTAGGACATTCTCTGAGGTTTAGCCATATGGGGTGGGAGAGTGGAGCTTTCCCACATTTTAAAGCAAACAATGTTAGTAAAATTGACAATCAATATACTTGATTATTGCACTATTTAAATGCTTTCAATATGAGTACTTGCTGTTAATGTTGTACCATTTTGTATATTGAAACAGTGGGCATCGATTGGAGGACTATGGAACTCCCATCTCATTGGAGATCACAGCTAAAGGAATTCTTTGATGAAATAGTCTGAAGTTACAACCCAAATGTGTTCCCTTTTGAAGGAGATTATGTGAGAATGTGATGTATTAAATATTCATTTTCCAAATAAAAAATTTGAAACTCAGAAGAGTATAAAATCATTGCTTAAAAGGAGTAGAAATTGCTCTGCAAATTTAAAAACTGGTAAGTTCTCTGACAAATAACAGCTTTTTAATTTGTTTCTTTGCTTGAGATCCAGTCTCATTGTATACCTCAGGCTACTCTGGAACTGTTTGTAGACCAGGATGGACCCTCCAGCTCATAAGCTTCTTGCCTTGGACTCCTGAGTGCTGGTGTTAAAGGTGGAGAACACTATACCCAACACCTTTCAGGACAAGTAATATGAAGAATGAGCTGGGCTCCAGAGCACTTATTAATTTCCACAGAGCAAAACCATTCCTTTTCCAACCATCCATCTATCTACAGGATCTGTCCCTTCCATGCTACTTCCCCAGGGCCCACAGTATCCTGTTTATTTTTCTCTTCCTGGATTGTATTAATATATTAACTTGCATTTTTATATAATCATCTGTTTAGCAAGATACTGAGATCTCCAAGACCACAAGCAGGGTTTTATTTAACGTTCTGTCCCAAGATTGCTCTCCTGGTGGGAAGAAGAAAAGCCATTCAAGTAGGTTTCCATGCAAGATGCTTTCAATGCCTCCAGCACTTTCAGTTGTTAGCATCACTTTCTCGTTCCTTCGCATTTGCTACATATACCATCATAAGGGATATATTTTTATAATACAAACTAATCTATTAATATCAGGGAGGTGACTCAGTGGGTTGAGTAAAAGTACTTACTGCACATATGTGATATACTGTGTTTTAGTCATGAACCCCATGATAGAAGAGGTAGGACTCCTAAACGCTGTTCTCTGACCTTGCCACACTTATTGTGGTACATGTGTATTCCCACACTCACATACAAGCAAGCAACAATAATGAACAAAGTTAAATTCAATGCTTATTTCCCTTATGAAACATACATTGTATAATAATAAGTATATTGATATATGCATTTTAGCTATGTTTGCATATTTTCATGAGTGACACTTACAGTAAACTATCTGAACTGATTATTGTACCCACTGTAGAATTGAGAAAAATGCATGTTCAGAAAGATCAATGGGTTGCCCAGGGCCACAAAAGCCAGTGAACAAACACAAAAAGAGTCTACATGCTTATACATTATTCTATGGTGTTACTTACTTATTAGTAGTGGAAATAATACATAAATACAGGGATATGTATGGAATCTGACAGCCCTATGGTAGAGGATAATGTCTTGTCATAATTGTCAAAGATTTATGTCATTTATTTCCTTAGTATTTAACATATGTTCTTTCTTCCTTTCATAAGGAGACCATGTATGAATGAATGAATGAATGAATGAATGAACGAACAAACACCATATCTGTTGCTGGAGTTTCTTTTAAGGCCAGGTTCCCCCACCCTTCTAAGCCCCAAATAAACACATGGGTGCTATATTAATTCATAAATTTTTGCCGATGGCTAGGGTGTCTTGTTTGCTAGCTCTGTTTCAATTATTAATCCATAACTACTAATTTATATATTTCTACATGGCTTTGTTTTACGAGAGGACACTTGGCAATTCTATCTTCCCAGTTTCTACATGACATCTCTTCACAGTCCCTCTTTGCCTAACTTTCCCAGAATTCTTCTCATCTCCTAGTCCCGTCCATCTTCCTGCCTCTATTGGCCAAACAGTGTTTTATTCATCAACCAATAAGAGAAACATATATACAGAAGGACCTCTCCCATCACATAGCCTTTTATTATATATGTAATCCTGGATTCCAAGTTGTGTTATCATATCTCTTTTACCAGATGTAGGTAAGTGTTAAATCTTAGAATCACTTCATGACACCAAGAGTACCTGATGAACAAAGAACACTGTACTATTATGGAATTGGGTTTGTAATCGAGGCATGATTTGTGTACTGATGGTCTCTAGCCTATTTCTGACTCTTCTGATGGTTATCCAGGCTGCTGTTTTTAGGACGGCAGTTGATGCAATGTTGGGATATAGGAGTTCACATACAATGATATCGAGGCATCTCAAGTCATAAAGCAAGGGAAAAATTGGTCCAGAAGGGCATTATGACAGGATAGTCTTTCATGAATGAATAGCTATGTTACTTGCATCTAACTCTGTATGAGGAGGATGAACTCAAGGATTTCTGTACTCTGAGCTTCTTCATATTTTCTTAAGTTTGTCTAAAAATTGATATGTATTATATAGCATAAAGGGTATGAGGAAGGAGGCTAATGGTACTAATGGAATTAGGGACCAAAGACCTATGCTAATGTTATGAATTATGTGGCTGAGGGAAATTAATCATCCTAATCCAGAGTACAGTTCCTTTACTTATAAAATATGAAGGCTAAGATACAATAATTTGCTCAATTTTTCTTCCCTCCTAAACTGTTTAAGTCTTAGGTGGTTTTGATTTAGATAGTAAATGTCCAAAGTTTGACTGTTTAATTTGTTAAGGATGACTTTGATCATGGGCTTGAGTTTTTGAAAACCCACTTCAATTTCTATGAACAATGATCAGCAATAACTTTTTCATTTTGTTATAGTAATGATTTCAAATATGCAGCACTTAGTGCCTAGCATGTGTTCACTCCATAGAAAATAGGGAATATTTTATAAACTGGAGGCCACATATGTCTTTAATTATCCCAGGACTTCTTGAAAAAGTTATGTAGGATTCCCCATGTACTTATGCTATGTAATCTACACATTAGTTTCCGAGGCTGCCATCATATATTTAACATGAATTTATGAGTTAAAATATACTTTTTCTCTAGCTCTAAAGGCTAGGCATCCCACATTCAAAATTTGACATCATAGGTTCCTTCTAGAAGCTCTGAGGTAGATTCTCTTTTGTCTGTGTCTCTTAGCTTCTGGTATTTGATCAAAATCTTTTTGGCCTGAAGGCATCATTGCCCAAATTCTGAATCTGTCTTCATGTGGCTATCTTCCACCAGTGTATCAAGTCTCTGGGACTCTACATGCCCTTCCTGTAAGGATGCCAGCAGTTGAATTTAGAGCCCACTCAAGTCCAGTGTTGTCTCATTTAAAACAAATCATCAAAGACAACTATTTCCAAGTAGGATTATGTCTTTGTGATATGGGCATTAAAGGTTCAGAAAATACTTTTGGTCAACACAACTCTAACCATAATAGCTTACAGTGAACTATAAAAATCTAAAATGGTACAATTGTCATTTCTGATTGTAGTGCTCATGGGTTCTTCAGAGTCAGAATATGAATGAGCCTTCAGGCCACTGTAATTTTTCTGCAGACTTTTTGTTCCTAGAAGCCAACAAAGAAGATTTGAGAGTATCATCAAATCATAAATTTGCAAAGTCATTTGACTTTTCCAAATTTGGGCTACTATTTGTGTTGCTCATTGAGTTTTAGTTTTCACTGAAAATTTTATTTCTATCGGATCCTAGGAATAATGAATGCAAAGTACAGTTAATTATCCTAATGTTCCAGGGAACTTAAAAATAACCCATGTCGTTAGGTGGCTGCTGCTTATGTATCTGATTGGTCATTAAGTAAGAAACCAGAGATGGGTGATTTATCTGATGTCCTCTGGACCGACAATTGTGTGGGCCCTGTCTGCCAACTGCTTGGGAATACTTTACCTATAGCTATTTGGGTATCAGCACTGGTTCTCTGTGGTGGGATGGATGCCAGTGTGTCAGTCCTTCTTAATCATTCAGCAGCAATCCCCTAATGGAAAGCTCTTTAACCCTATGCCTTCAATTGCCACTGGCCTAGAAAATGTGAATTTTGGGGGAGTAGTTTTAAGATCCCCAAGATATATAGATTTCACAAGAATGCCAAAGAACTGTGATATTTGGGAATGGCTGTGGGCTAAGAAAAATATATTTCCTAAGAGCTGACTTTTCTCTGTTCCCCAAATATATGAATTAGTGATCCCATGTGTGAGTTGTAGGGCCAGAACATGACTATGTCTCACATGCTATCTTCAATTTATTTTCTCTGTGTCCAACACATTTGGAAAGGAATATTTTCTTGTTGGCTGAATTAGAATCTCACTCTTACTGTCTGTTTGCTAAGTATCCATCTTTTCCCCTTCTCATTCACACTTATGATATGTTCGTAAATATATTTTCTTGGATCAGTAGTGTAGGTCAAGGTTTGGCACTGAAATTGATTATTTCTTTTGTGATTATTGTCATGTATTTGTTATAAAATACTGTGATGATCACAAAGCACTTTCTAGGCTCCAAATCTATCTGTCTCTCTTCCATTCATCCATCTGTATATCTATGTATTGTCTGTGTATCTTTGTACCTCTCTCTTCTATATTTTATCCATCTGTAATAATATTCAGTTTCTCTCACTATTTTCAAATATTTTAAAGAACCAAAATATTCAATGAACAAATTTGAAAGGCTAGAAATATAAACAACGGGAGAATTATTTTTCCACTAATAAAAGCGATAATTTTCTTCTTCTTTTTTTTTTTACCTTTGTCTTCATTGGTCTTAAATTCTCATCTTTCATTAGGCCTTATAGATCCTACTAGATTTCAATCTTTGTTATGAGCACTCTTTCCCTCCAGTCTGGTCCCACAGCCCCCTTCTCCCAAATGAATGCACAGATGCTATATTAATTATGAAACTATTGGCCAATGACTTAAGCTTCTTATTGGCTAGCTCTGTCTTAATTATTGACCCATTTCTATCAATCTAAGTATTTCCATGTGGTCTTATCTTACTGGAGAAGGATCTGGACCTCTTACCCCTTTGCAGTCTCATATGGTGTCTGACTCTGACTACATTTCCCAGAATTCTCCTTATCTCCTAGGCCAACCTTTCTTGCTGCCCTGTTGGCCAACCGTGTTTTATTCATCAACCAATAAGCAAAACATATGTAGAGAAGAAATCCACATAAATCTTTTTTATATTTAATTATTTTCCCTTTGTTGTATTTTCCAGTCTTCCATTATTCCCTCTGTGTTTTCTCTCTTCTAACCTTTCTCCTGCACCCCTTCTGCTCTTCCTTGTCTCTTTTCC